TGATTTCATTGCTTCACAAATTTTTGTGATTTATTTTTGTTCAATATGGTTTTTGATCATTCTATGTTCAATGATCTTTCTTAAAATGATTTAAGAAAGTTAATGTTTATAAGAATTTTGATTTGCATGTATAAGATTAAAAACAGTCTAAAATAATGGTTTTAACGTAATTTTATTTTGTATAATTTAAAATTTTAATTTAAAAAGATTAATATATTTTAATGCTAAAATGGTAACAGCAAGTTGTTTAATTAACTTCCAACAGAAAAAAACATCCTGTCATAACATTATATCAATAAAAAAGAAATTTATCAATTTTTCAAAATCATTATTATATTTGATATTTGCTAATTCTAAAATGTTAACAGCAAGTTATTTTATCAAATAAGAACTATTTACAGTAACAAACAACATCCTGTCATTACACTAGTATAGAAGAAATTTGTTACCTATTAAAGTCATTAACATTTTTAACATTAATAAATTGATTATAATTAAACTTTGTGAAATAGAAACTTTCTTTTTGTCAAAGTAAGATAAAAGAAATCAATCACTGTTTAGTTTTGTATTACCATAGTGATTGCTTAAGTTGCTTTCATTGAATTAATTACTATTGGTTTCTCATTTTTAAATTAATCTCAAAACGTTTTTAGTGTTACAGTAAGAAAGGATTCATGTGATTTTGGAAAAAAATTAAATGATACTTGTCATAAACTAAGTTATTGTAGAAAGATTGATTTAAAAAAATTTGATTGCTATAGAGAAGATGGCAGAGAAGAATTTATTTGGAGATCTGGAATAACAGATGATAAAATTTTAACAATCTGCCTTCATCATGAAAAGATTTTTGGTTCATACTTTAAAAAGAAGCACACAAAATGTTGTAATTTATTGGACAAGCATAAATAAAAAAAAAGCAATCAAAGGTAAATATTGTTGATAAAAAATTACTGTAAAATCTTTTTCGAATAATGAAATTAAAATCTACTAGTTTATAAAAGTTTGAAAAAAAGCTGATCTGGTTATGCAATGTATATTGAAATAAGTACAAATAATTTTCATATTCATAGGTAATTACTAAAATCAAATTGTTCTTTTCTTTTCAGGGAGTCATGTAATAACATTAGACATGGCAAAACAATTAAGAATTAATTTTCCAAATGTTGTGCCTGGATATCAACTTTGTCGGAGCTGCTTTGACGCTATAATCAGTAAATTTCACGAACAAGATAATTGTGAATTTGAGGAATCTATTTCATGTGCTACTTCTGAAAAGTCACGAGAGGCATTAAATGTTAGTTTGGAAACAATAGGTGTATCCCCCATAAAACTTCATGGCATTCTAAAGCATCAATGGCTATCTGTTGCTAAAACTAAAGTTATAAAAATAATGTCAAAGTATGAAGAGCATATTTTAAAAGTATATGTTAGGAAAGAAGAACTGAAACATAAAATTCCTCATACGAAAATTATTGACAAAAGTAAATGTGATGATTTAGACAAACTAACAGCAGAAATAAAAGAAAACTTAATTGTTTCTGACCAAAAAAATAAAATTCAGTTATTAACATTAACACCCGAGTCTTGGTCAAGAAATTTTGCTGCAAGATATTTTAACGTCACTATATACCAAATTAAAGAAGCGCGCAAACTAAAGAAAATAAGTGGGATTTTTTCAGTTCCAGGCACTAAGAAAGGAAAAATATTTTCAGAAATAACATTAAATAGAGTCAACAATATATACCATGATGAAGAATTTACTAGACAAATGCCTGGTAAAAAAGATTATGTAAGTATTGGTAGAAAACAACACATGCAAAAGCGTCTTATTTTATGTAATCTTAAAGAACTTTATGTTTCTTTTAACACTAAATATCCTCAAGAAGTTATTGGATTTTCTAAGTTTTGCAGTTCAAGACTAAAATGGTGTATAACTGTTGGAGCATCAGGCACTCATTCTGTTTGTGTATGTACCCTCCATCAAAATGCAATACTCTTGCTATACAAATGAAATGTACTTACAAAGATATGATGACAAAAGTTGTTTGTGATGTGACAAGTAACAAGAGCATGGTTCATCGATGTCTGAACTGTCCAGGTATGGTTTCTTTAAAAAAGTTTCTGGATGCACAACTAATTGATAATGACTTAAAGAACTTTATGTTTCTTAAAGAAATTATGCACCCGCACGGTCCAATTACCAACATAACTTGTATAATTGATGCACCTGTAACAACAAATGGACGTTTGTATACTTTGACCGTTGATGCATCTAAGCTAATCTTAGCATTATCTTGACAATTTCTTTTTTTTGTATTTTATTTTGTAAATAATGAAGTAAAACGGAACAAGCATAAAGCAATAAAATATTTGAATACAATATTTTCAAAGTTATATTAAATTTAAGACAAAAAAAAAAAAAAATTTTTTTTTAGAGAAAATAAGCGGGGCATGGTCCCCATACATACTGTTACACATACTCACATAAAGTTATATCTTGACTAAATTTCAAAAAAAAAAAAAAAAAAAAAAAAAAAACAATTATAATAATGTATTATAAATTTTTTCAATAAATCTTTATTTTGTTCAATATTTTTTCTAATTCAGTTTCTGAAATTTTATATATGCAACCATTAGTTGTAGATGGAGAATCAATGGTACATAAAACATGATTTGATAAGATCCAACACATATCTTCCCGTGCGGGTCAAGAAAAAATTGGGCTGGGACCCTGTAGATGCAAAAATTGAATTTTATAATCTCCTTCTCTTTCATCATTTTTGGTTATATTTCCAATCCACCAAAATAGTCATAACTGCAAGCTACATAGTCCATATGATTATAAATAACCTGCTGCATAACCAGGTCATTTGGTATCTGCACAAGGTTAAATGTCTGAGCATCAGTTTCATCCTTTTAAAAGAAATTGTACATTTATTAACTGGTATAATATTGTGGAAGCATCTTGTTCCTGGCAAGGTTCTTCACATATTAAACCTTGGTTGTTATGATGATCAAACTTCATTTATTTTTGTTTTATAAAACAAAATGAATTGAATGTTTTTTATAATGGTTACACAAAATTCAAACACCTTATCTACATCTAAAATCTGTACAGTCAATGTCTTAAACTGGCTCGTGCAGTTATTTCTCTTACTGTGCCCCCATCACAAACAGATTTACCATGGCTTGTGGCAAAAAAAAAAAAACATTCAGCATCAATATCAAGACTTCTTTGTGATGGCAAAGATTAATAAACTGTGCTGCAGATCTAAAATACTTCATCAGTGAAGTATTTTATTACTAATTTGTAGAATGTTTGCTTTAATGTAAATGTTAATGAGCTGATATATTTTATAAATAAAATATACATCATGCTCAACATCATCAGAAAGAAAGCAAAATAACTTAGATATCAGTTTACCATTTGATTTATAGTATATAATAATAGGATGAAGTGTACATTTTGGTTTATTCCAGTGGTAACATTGCACCTCATCTTGAACAATAAACTGAAAGTTCTTTGCAAATTCACTAAATATTATACACTTATTGTGATTTAATAATTCTTTAAAGGTACTTGGCCTAACTTTTAGCTATAAGTGAATGAGATGTTAGTTTATCTATTTTATTGCATTTCAATAACATCTTCAATATTAATTTTTTGATTGATCAGTGTAGTTCTATCTGTAACATCCCATTGGTTAATTGTTATTTCTTTATCACTGTTGTCAAATTTTACTATTAAGAATTCTTTTAAAGCAGTATTACCAGGACATAATAGACATTGATGTAACATACACTCTAGATTATCCCGATTGCAAACAATCATTCCAATTAAATCTTTAGTCTTTGTCAATTTTAAGAGCATTAGTTAACAAATTAACATTCTGATGATACAGACACAAGCACTGTAAGTGCTAGATAAGTTTTTGGTTACACACCATCTTGGGCAAAGGCTGCAAAACTTTTATTATTTAAATTAAAGTGTTTAGATTTAAATGCTACATGAAGTTCTTTTAAATAAACCAATATTAGTCTTTTTTGAATAGTTGCCTGCACCCAATACTGACAAAATATTTTTTCTAGACATCATTTGTGTGTACTTGTCACTTTGATAAAATATGAACAGATCAATGGTTTCATTGGAAAATAATTTTCTTTTTTTGATAATGGTTTTTACAAAATTCCATGTTGTTTTTTTTTAGCTTTTCTAGCTTCTTGTATAAGGTAAATACATTAAAACATTAAAAAATTACATTAGAAAAAAAAGATACTTTAAAAAATTCTGCAGAATTTGGGAGTGAGCATAAATCTGGAGTTAATGTTAATATCTGTATTTTTGCGGAGTATGATGTCACATTTTTCAGTTTATCTTTTAATTCATTTAAAAGTGAATTTAGATTGTCAATTTTATCGTTATCAACAGAAGTTAGTGGTATACAAGATGGTATCAATCTAATCATAGGATCAATATTAAAAACTTTATTTATTTTGTTTGTTGTTGCTTCAGTTATTTAATCAAATTTCATTTGGCAGCTGGTAACCATTGGTGTTTTGGCACTGATTAAAGCTCAATAGGTGACACACCTATAGATTCAAGACTTTTATCGAGAGATGAACATTGTTCATGTTCAGACTCAACCCTGCTATAGCATTGCAAAATCCTGCAAACTAACAGGTAACTAATATTTACAACATGAAGCAATAATATAATAACCAAGAAATAAAAGATTTTAATTATAAAAGAAAAAAAAATGTCTTTTATAAGTTTGATTGCCCTACCCCTCCTCCCTATACTTTGAGCCTACCCTAGGCACACAAAAAAATACAAATAAAGTATAAATTTGATATTGCTTTTAAAAAGACTTTAACAATAATTTTTTACAAAATAAAATTAAGATATAGCTAATTTTGTCATAAGTTAGCAATAAATTTTATGCTGAAAAGTTGAAAAATGCAGTAATATATTTTTTATTAATAGTAATGTTTGATACCTAAATTGTAAGTTATAACAATGCCTCAAAAAAATTATAAAGGTGACATCACCATTTTGACCGTCAAAATATTCGAAAATATATTCCTTTATTATCTAATTTACATGTAATTAAGGAGGTCAAAAAAATTTGTGATTTAAAATATGTCTGCCATGTGGAAGATTGTAATGAGCAAAATTTCAGGAGGATACATTATTTGGTTCATAAAATATTGCTATTTAAATAACAAAAAAATATTTTACAAAAAACGCTGAGTCAGCATAAATAAGAAGATTGAATCCTGATTGTCTCAAGAACCATAAGGAGTTGCAGGTTCCAAATTTTTCTTGACTGTAAAAGATTTTCTTAAGCAAGCAATAAAAAAAACATTTGTAGACAAAAAACATCTTAAAGCATTTCTTTTTGCTCTTTTTCTTTATTCATTAGTTCTTGCTCATGAATATAATTTTTTCTTTTTTCTTCGTCTTCTTCAGCTTTTCTTTTTTTATATATTTTATGAGCATTTTGAACAGCTTGAACAAAGTCTTTGGAGAGTGCATCAACATTATATGCTCCTCTGCAACTTCTTGCATATTCTTTTGATATTCTTAAAGCCATTAATGTTTCATCATTTAGATTTACTCTCTCAGGAGTTAATGTATTTTTGTTATCAGATAAACTTTGCTCAGCACTGGCATTTCCATTCTGAATTGTTAAACAGCTCTTAACAACTTTACTGAGAAACCCATACTTTGTTTTTCCATATTCATTGTTACTTTCAAAAACTTTAGCCCAATAATGGTCTACTCTTTTTAGTTTTTTTGTGTCAAAATCTATATACCAGTCTTTTGATATATTAGCTGCTTGGTATAATTTCCATTCATCTTTCACAAATGATACCTGTACAAAAATTAAGATAAAATTGTTATGGAGAAAGTGTTAACATTTAAAATTAAAGGAAAATTTAATTATATTAAAATTAAAATAGTTCGTTAACTAATAATTTACAAACAACAATTTCTGATTTGTAAATTAAAATAATAATTAGTAAATTTTGAAAATATTAAATAATATATTTATATGGTTAATGTACTCTGCCATTTTAATTATATAGTAGATTATGTTAACAATATAAATACTTATATTATTTAAAATTTTCAAAATTTACTTATTATTAGTTTAATTTACAAATCAGAAATTATGTTTACATATATATATATATATATATATATATATATATATATATATATATATATATATATATATATATATATATATATATATATATATATATATATATATATATATATATATATATATATATATATATATATATATATATATATATATATATATATATATATATATATATATATATATATATATATATATATATATATATATTATTACAGTTATTTAATATAAATTTATTTAAATATTCACCTCCCTTTCCGTAATTACATGTGGCATCGTAACTGCTATTCGCCCAATTGCATTAACAGTCCAAGGTTCTGATCTCATTTGAGCACCCAAACAAGTCATATCTTTTAATATCTGCGAATCAAGTGGAAGTTTTTTTTGCAAGTGTTTTACAACAGATATATATCCATCTCTCATTTTCTGTAAGCAGACAAATCTTTTTTTTTCACATGATATTTTGTTCACCTAAAACATATTTTTATTGAAAATCTACATCAATGAAAATGAATAAAAAAACTTCATTTTTAATAATAAAATATCTAATGAATAATACAATAAACAAAATAGTTTATATTGCCTAGTACACTTACTTATACATAATTACCAAGTACACATTAACCAGGTAGTAAATGTGCAACTGGTAAATGTAGCAAATGTGTACCTATGAAAAATTACCTGGTTTTTAGCCTCCTCGCCAAAGTCCATTTTATTCAAATCAAGGTGGATAGTTGAATCAGAAGAATCAATTTTTAAAAGATCTTTAGTAAGCTTTCTATTAACAGCAGTCGGTTGAAGGAAACGTTTCATTAAAGATATTAAAAGATTTTTCATTTTATAAAATAAAATATGAACAAGTGGTCCTTCATCTTGAAATATTGTCAAGTATTTCTCAAACAAGGGAGCTAAACCAATAAGGAATTTGATGGACACAAGTAACTCCTAAAATAATCAATTCTCTATTATATGTAATAATTCAAAAAAAAATAATAAGAAGAATAACTTTAATAACATTTTCAGTTTCCCTAAGACTTCTTTGAATTCGAATATAACTCTTGTTGTTTGTCAGTGTCTTTTTATACTCCTTTTGTTTTGGAATATATTCCAAAAAATATTTCTTGGTGTCTTCCCACCTTAATAGAACCTTTATAAGTGAAGAAGAAAGAGTGAGCCATCTAGTATTGACAAAACGAAGAAACAATGTTTCATCTTCAATAAAAATGCAATCTGATAATTTTTTTAAATCTTCTATTTTACAGGGTGCATTCTAAAACAGAAAAAAATTATATAGAGACACTACACTTTATTAGCTAGTTGTATAATAGACTATTAGAATAAAAAATAATAATGTAAGAAAAATAACTTCATAGGTAAAATAAAATTCTCTTTTAGTATTAACTGCAGTAAAATCTCGTTAAGTTAAACTCTCACAGGGAATAGATAAATAGTCTGACTTAGCGAATGTCCAAATAAGTTAAGCTTTTTGTATGTATAGAAAGCTTAAAGGGAATTGAAAATCTGTCCGACTTAGTACAAATCCAACTTATCCAGGGTCTGAATTAATGGAATTCTACTGTATAAAATTACACAAATCATTACCTTGAACCAGGTATGTAAATCAAATGCAAACTGCTCAGCATCCTCACCGACAACATTAATTGCTTTTCGAAAAGCATTATGCACTATGTGCAAAGTGCAACTTACAAATGGTAACAAGCCATTAAAACCATTACTATGAAGATCAGCATTTAACAATCTCCAAATGGCTTTGTTAATATTAGGACCATCTGCTGAAAAATTAAAAAGACGATCCCATGGTAAATAAAACCTTTCATTATGACGTAAATCTGCAAGCATTGTTTTGACATCTTCTGCTGTTGCTCTGCCAAAGAACAGGGATGTTAAATATTTTGTAACAACTTGGTTTTCGTCTTCTGACCAAAAACGACATAAAAGATTCATTTGTTTTCTTTGTTGTGAAGTAGTCGTTTCATCAAACATTAAAGTGAATGCACCTTGACTTAACATGATACTATTACAAAAACGCTTTTCCAACAATGGCCCAAGGCCATCTTGCAAAATATATGAAGCTTTTTGCCGACTCATAGTAAAACCTTGACTTATTTTACTATCTGGAAACATTCTTTGGAACAATATTGGTGTGTTGTCACAATGTCTTAAGGCAAGATCATTCTATGCCACTTTAAAAAGCCACAAGCTTCTGCAGCAGAAATTTTTTCATTTATAGAGAACTCTAATTGTATAACTTTTTCTCCCCCAATCGAGTTTTTGTTAGAATCTACATATAAATGACGAGCAGTTTTTGAAAATCTTAGATCAGACACTGACTTATGTTTAGGTTTTGAAGAATGCTGATATAGTGCTTGGAAACCAACTGAACTGAATTTTAAATCACTTTTGCATAGTTTACAGATAGCATATTCAGAGTTTCTTTTTTCAGCCCATAATTGGATTTTCACTAGATTTTTGTCTAACTTTTCCAACCACACATCATTCCACTTAACCATTATACTATATAATCTATTGATAAATATACTAAAAACTAAATATAAAAATCACTAACTTTACTAGTTCTATACTATAAAATGATTTATTTTTTAAAATAATAACACCAATTTAGCAATACAAATGGATAATTAAAATTAAAATGTGAACATAAATGATTGTAACTGTTATTATAAAATAGTTTTGAAAATTAAATAAAAAAATAAGTAACATAATGTCTAAAACAACTTAAAAATATCAAAAACAGCAATTCTAAGCATTTAAAAAAAACTTTTAAGTGTAAAAAATTCAAGAAAAAAATGACAAAAACTAAAAAAAAATGAAAAAAAATAAAGAAAAAAAAAAGAACCCAAAAAGAATGAAAAAAATGAAAAAAATGACGACTTGACAGCCTGTAAAAAGGAAACAAATATTCTTTATTAACAAAGTTTGCAAGTTTTAGTTTTATTTAAGCTAAATTATTTTATAAATAAAAAAGTTTATTTTTTTAATACCTATTTTATGTTTCGCGTAGTTTAAAAAGTTTAACATATTTGAAGCAATTCTTCTTAGTAAGATAAACAAATGAAATAATTAAATCATTGAATTACTATAGAAATTAAATTAACAAGATAGAAATCAACTAAAAAGGTTAAAAATACTTAATGACGAGGAAGCAAAACTGCTTCACAATATCGCTGATGATGTTTAGTGAGCGGGCTTTTTAATTTTAATTAGTATTTAAAGCAGAAAAAAGTAAACCAATATCTAGAAACTTTTCTTTGTATCTAATTATTTACTATAAATATTTGTGTTCTGTCGTACGCGGTGCTTGTTCATCCGCGAGTTACTTCGTATGCATTGTTTGTGTTTAGTAACCAGAAACTTCTTATATGTTTGTTGCATAAATAATTTTATTAATTTGGACGATTATAACTTGATTGAAAACGCAAATATTTTGTAAGTCTTTGTTTAAATCATAAAAATTGCTTTAAAAGATACATTACGATAAAAAACAGATACACACAATTACATTTACATAAAGAATACATACTTTTTAAATAAAAAATAAGAATATACTAATAAAATCTATTATTTATAATAAACTTTTAAAATTTTGACAATTTAATTAATATATATTTAAAACATTTATTTTTGTAAACAAATAATATATATTCTTAAAACAATTTATGCTAGAAATCTCAAAATGTAACAAATCATGAATAATACAATTTCTAAAACATTTCAACAGAATACTCCAGAACTTTATTTCGCTTAGTCAGCGTATTTTTTGAACTAATAGAATTAGTTTGTTAATTTGGCGGGTTTTTAGTGATCGAGAATATTCTTTTTATTCTTTCGCACCAAGATATTTTGAGAACAGTTAAGTTGTTTATGTTTCCATGTATGTCCGTAAAACAAAAATTTTTTGTTTGGTACATAAACTGACTAAAAAACATGGCCAGTTTTTTGCAACTAAATATAATTTTCGTGGTCAGTATTCGAGAGCGATCGCTCCCGCTTCCCAACCAAGCCTGCAACTATGACAAAAATAGCAATCTTTAAAAGTTGTATTTAAAGTTATCTCTTTACAAATACCTCTTTTGTAGCTAAAGTTGCTTAACAATACTTTTTAACAGGTTACAACATTTTAATTTTTTTTATTAAATAATTTTCTTTTAATGAAACCACTTCTAATTAGATGTATTTTAGTTGTCAGACGTTTAAATTTTTTTTATTCAGTATTTTCACCTGAGAAACAATACCCCCAAAAAAAGTATTATACTGGACTATTAATTATCAAAGTGGACAACTTAAATGAGAATTAAAAACTATTTTAGTCAACAGCAGGGTGACCGGGAAAAAACCAGAGGGTACACCCATTAATAGTGCTATTAAAGATTTTATTAGTACATTTAAATTGCATACAGACATTTAATTACCTTTCCAGGGCACAAAACATCTGCCTTTGCAATAACTCCTGTCAAATCTGATTGAGTTTGTTTTACAATCCAAGGATTTGTAGTAGGAAGATAAGCTTCATCTACTCTACAGAAAGGAATATCAAATAAAGGTTCTTCAATGTAACAACTCATCTAAAAACAACAATAGTATTATATTATAATAGTCCCAAAATGGTATATTCACAAAAATAGCTCAAAATCAACACTATTTTGACTTCAGTAATAATAAAAATGTTTTAACTGTAAATACACCACAGCAATTCCAATAGTTACAGTTATTTAATGTTAAAATTGATACATTTCAAACAAAAAAATCTTAAATAATAATGGAAAAGTCAAAGGAATTACAAAATAAATAAGTGCTAAATAAATGGCTCTAATTATTCAAAACTCTAGAAACCACTTCAACCTCTCAAACTATCCTACGAATAGTCTTCACACTGCTATTAGTCTTTTTATATAAAGGTTTTGAGTTTAATTTATTTATTTCTAACTGTAGTATTAAAATTACTCTTGAAAGCCTACACTCTTCTTTATTTCAAGTAACTTTAAGGGTACCACAAGGTTCTATCTTTGCTCCTATATTGTTTCTTATCTAAATATCAAACTTCATGAAAATTTTACATCTAAAGTGGCTCTATTTTTCACAACTATTGTTAGACAACAAAACTCATCAATCTACTGAAAAAAATATAGCAATAATGTTGGTATTCCTATATTGAAAACCAACTCCTTTACTTTCAGACAAAATCTAAAAGCACATTGTAAATCTAATTAAATTTTTTTCTAGCCTCGACTATCAACCCCTTCTAAATCTTATAATTTTGCCAATTATAATTTGTCCTTTATAATTTTGAATGTCTAACAATGGGTTAACATGTTTAATTGAAATAGAAGGAAGAGAATAGCCATAAGATTCAAGAGTCGAATTAGAAGAAAAGTTCTTTTCAAATAGTTCTGCCTTATCCTTTAGGGAGATAACCGGTCCAATATATGAGAGGCGGAATGTCAGACCTACCCTTGTTAACGATACTGTTGAAGATTTTCCAAATTCTCTAGAGCCTAACTTCTGATGCTAAGTTACTAGCCATTATTCTAAGTTCACTGAATCTTTTTTATAAAATACAAGACTTAGTGAACTGAGATTAATGGAGCTTAACATTAAACAGCACCTTTTTATATTAATTTTTTGCATTAATGAATAGCTGTTTGTTCTCAAGAGAGTTGTTTTTCTGAAAAAAATGAAAAAAATGATTACAATTAAATATAGCAGCTGCACAAGCAGGTAAAAACCATGGAGTAGAATGAGGCTTGACTTGGAACAGACAAGAAGGAATAAAAGCATCTATTCCTGCCAGAATCAAGGAGGTTACCTAGAAGAGCTGAATTTATTGGCTGAGAGAATATGACATCAACCCAAGGACCATCACGAAGAAAATCATGAAAAGAATACCAATCAGCTTCAGGGTAATAGTAAATAGTGTGATGATAGTGTGAGTCTAAAAAAGATGAGATCAAAGATTTAAAGTGATCATTGCATGGTCAGAACCACCTAAGGGAGAAAAAAATAAAAATAAACACAAGCTAAAATCAGAGATAAGACATAAACAAATATGGCTCTAATATATATCAACCTTCATGAAATTATGTCTTTTCTGAAGTCATACCTTATATTATTATAATAAGTTAAATGTTTATCTAAACATATACAGTCAGAGAAATAAGTATCTGAACAAAACATTTTATTATGATAAATAAACATTGACAGATTATTTTAGAAGAAAATAATATAATAAAAAATGTATAAATATTCTAAAAGAAATTTAATCAAGAATTCAATGAGCAAAAAAAAAAGTTCTAGTAATTATATTTAATTGCTAAAAAATTAATGGTACATTCAAATTATGCTTTTTAGCATTAAATCTCAAAAATCATTAAAACTCAAACAAAATTTAAGTGTTAAGTTTTTTTCAGATAGTTATTTGCAATTGGGAAAGCATTTTATTTGCCAACAAAACAACGATTGAAAACATACATCAAAGAAAGCAAAAGAGTTTTTTATCTAAAAGCAGATTGATTTTCTTTGAATGGCTGGATCAAAAACGTGGTACATGTCTAAAAAAAAGAGAAAAGCTGAAGATCATCCTTTCAGGATCTTGGCCTCATATTGATCCAGATATGGCAAAGAAATTAGTTGAATGAATCCCATGTCAACTTGTAGAAATTATAAAAGCTAAAGGTCTGACTCGATACAAAAAAGTTAAAAATAATAATTACTTATATAAAATTTTATCTTGTTTAGATACTTATTTAAAGCTAAAAAAATTTGAATTTATTGTTATTTTTTAGCAATTAAATATAGTTACTGTAATTTTTTTTTGCTTATTGAATTCTTGATTAAATTTTTTTTCAGAACCACAAAAATTCTTATTATAATATTTTTTTTTTTTTGTAAACTAACGTATCAAAGTTTATTTTTCATAAATTTTTTTGGTCGGATACTTACTTATTTGGTAATAAAATTGCCATGAGCCCTGCATTTCAAGTTGTCTCAAAAATTGGTAATAGAAATACCTGTAAAAAAATTTTGTCACATAACTTTTTAATATAATGTAAGCTCATAACTTTATGTTGAACCATCCAATTTAAATAACACTTTTAGTTTTGTTAATTTAAAACTGATAATACATATCATGAAACAAATGTATCACATATTCACTTGTTCTTAGTTAATCGAATAATGGTTACTATTCCTGTATTTAACATACTTATTTTATTTAAAGCGTAATTTAAAATAGGAGTAATAAAAAATGTATGTTACTATTGCTAAATAAGCTCTTAAATTTTCAACAAAAATAAATACTTTAAAAAATCTGTGTCACTTACAGGATATTATTGACAAAACTTGCTCGAGAAATTTACTTCGGAATGAAAATTAATTTATTAACCACGCTATCAAGTCCTTCTCACGTGTGTCATTAAAATCCCGAGTGAATAACGTGGTACGCAAAATTGCACGAATGTTAGGTCAATTAGTTATGCGAAAGACTGTAATCGTGGTTTTTTTCTTTTACATGTTTAGTTTAACTTATTTCTATAACATAATATATAAAATTTCTATTATATAATATATAATATAATATATAAACTAATACATAAAACTATCAGTCACTCATAAAAAATAACCTCTTTTTCTTTCCTCTTCGAGACTCATCAGTCTGGGAGAGTTTAATTGTGGAAATTATTTTTATTGCACGGGTATGCTAGTAGGAATACCCAGTGACGGATCCAGGAACTTTTGTGGTAGAGATATGTTGAAATATTTTGTATCACATTTATGTTTTCTATATAAAAAAAAAAAAAAAAAAAAAAAAGGTCATTCATTTTGAAGATAATTTAGGACTTTCAGATTCTGGTGGGGAGAAGGGTGCATACCCCAATCCTACCCCCACCCTATATTGATTTGGGGTCATCCACAAATTACGTCACGCAATTTTGGACAATACTTGTCACGTTTTACTGTCCCTCCCCCTCCCTTTAAATTACGCAACAAATTTGTACCCTTCCCACACACAAAAAAAATATTGTTTAAATAAAAATATTATCGTATTTATATACGATAAAATTTTTAGCTGCTTTTGATTGTCTAAGGAATACTTTTTATTACATATAAATTTTAATTATTATTATTTAATATTACTTTGAATGTCTTTATTTCTCTTCCATGTTTAATAACTCCATGTTATTTCTACTTTAAATTCTACTCCATGGTTTTTACTTTCTTGTGCAGCTGCTATATCTAATAGTAATTATTTTTATCATCTTTTTTAAAGGAGTTACTCTCAAAAACAAATAGCTGTTTAATATTGCAAGAAATCGATGTAAAAAGGTACTGTCTGATGCTATGCTCCATTATTACCAATTCACTGATTCTCGTACTTTATCTCAAAAGTTAAGCTCTAGAGACTTTTAAAAAATCTTCAACAATTTTATTAACAAGGGTAAGTGTAACATGCCAATCACCGTAGAAGAACATTTATAAGGAAGTTTACACCTCGTTTTTTACCGATATTATAAATCTTGCCTAGAGGTGACGTTGAATCACGGATCTTTAGCTACTGAGACAACTCAAAAAATGTCCTAAAACTATTTGGCAACATATTGCTATTAAAGTTAATAATATTCAAAAAGTTCAATTCCAGATATTTTTTTAAAACCAGATTCAAAAAGACAATAAAAAATACTGTCTAAAAAATATAAATTTTTTTATAAATAAAGCAAATTAGCAATAGTTCAAGATAAATCTTTTGTCGTTGTAAAGCTTAAAAAAAACGCAATTTTTTTTTTTCGTAAACTTACTGATGCATTTTGGTACTTTTTATTTTCTATTTCTAAAATTAAATTTATTTTTACAATAATGAAGTGCAATAATATTAAATATTTTATCGAAAAAAAAATTTGAAAAAAATAGTTTTTAGCTGAGATATAAGGCTCATAGGCATAACTATCTCGTTATGCCTCACTGTCCCGATATGCCCCGCTTCACCTTAGGCCTAGTAGAGTTTTTAAAGTAAAACTATTTTTAAATGTTTTTATCGCGTATGTTTTCTTATTGTTATTTTGTATTTTCTGTTTTTGTTTATTAGAATCCAAATAGGAAACTTAGTAAACTTAACAAGACTGAAAGGCGTGCATTAAGACTGAAAAGGCATATAATTATACTTGCAATTCCTCCCAAGTATCACTAACATTCGGAAAAACTAGAAATATCACAACATTATCATTGTTATCTTCCTTGTCATCATTATTAGTACTTAGATGCGATCACATCTAAACGCTAATGGATCAAAGAGTTACAAGCTCTTTGAAAGTTTATTACAGATCTTTGGCATTGCAAAAACTGATTATGGCTATTGATAAAAGAAAAAATCTTCTTGTTTTTTTTATTTTAGTCACAATGAAAATGATCTAGTACGGCAAAAAGTAAACACTTCCTCCATTAGTAATTGTTTTGTGTAAGCATAAATTTCGAAAGTTCAGCATAAATCTGTCCAGTCGAATGAAGATAATAAATCATTTAAAGATTTTAAAAATCAAACGAAAAAATTCGATAATTTTTACCCTTCGGAATAGTAGCCGAAGATGTCATTTCTGCAAAAAAAAACATTTAATAAACACCGCATATTTACAAACAGATGTACAGTGAATAGAAAAAAGTAGGAATGCAGCAAGTAAGAATCATGCTTTGACGAGGAAGATAACGATGATAATGCTGTGATAGTTGTAGTTTGCCCAAAAGTTAGTGATATTTGGGAAGAATTCGGCAAGTATGATTATATGCCGTTCAGTCTTAATATTACGAAGTCGTGGCGCACTTGCCTTAGTAACGTATGATCCGTGGTTCTAACCCCACCTCTGAGCAAGTTTTGCGATATCGGTTGAAAAGGAGGCGTGAACTTCCTATTAAATGCTCTTCCGAGGTGCTCTGTGATAAGACCGTAAGGACTTCTTGGGGCACCTAAATCAACATCGGTCCCAAACTAGCAAAAGAAATTCCTTATACAAATGCTACATTTAAAGAATTTTTAGTACAAATGGATAATTGCACTAGTTTCAACGAATTATTTTCTGAACTATCTTTTCAAGAGTTTGAAAAAGCTTTCAAATCTCTTAAAAAAAATAAATCAACCGGAGCAGATGACATAAACGATAAAATAGTCATAGAATGTTTTGAATACTTAAAAGATATCCTATTTAAAGTCTATGGAGCATCTATACGCCAAGAAGTTTTTCCTGAACAACTAAAAATTGCTAAAGTTACTCCAATTTTAAAAGAAGGTGATCAAACAAATATTAGTAATTATCGCCCTATCTCTGTCCTCTCCACATTTTCAAAAATACTAGAACGTATAATGTGCAATAGATTATACAATTATCTTCATTCTAATAATTTTTTATACAACTATCAATTTGGCTTTAAAAGAAATAATTCAACAGAACATGCAGTTATCCAATTTGTACGTGAAATCTCTAATTCCTTTGAAAATTCTAAATACACATTAGGTTTTTTCATCTACCTTTCGAAAACATTCGATACTGTCGACCATGAAATTTTACTACAAAAGCTAAAATATTATAGAATGAATTGCAAAGTTATAAAATGGTTCAAAAGTTATCTATCCAATCGTAGACAATTTGTTTTCAGCAATAATGATCATCCAAATAAATTTCTAAACATTTCAAGTGGCGTTCCACAAGGTTCCAAGGTTTTGGGACCACTATTCCTCTTGATTATATAAACGATTTAAATAAAGCCTCAAATTTAATGAGTATCATGTTTGCTGATGATATTAACTTATTCTTTTCCGATAATGACATTTGCAAACTCTTCTATACTATGAATGATGAACTTATAAATATATCCAAATTGTTTAAATGCAACAAACTAACTCTTAACATTAAAAAAACAAATTGGGTTCTTTTCCACCCAGTCTCTAAAAAAGCTTATTTACCCCCGAAGTTTGCTTAAAATTTTTATTGATGATGTTGAAATAAAAAGACATAATGTAACAAAGTTTTTAGGTATTTTCCTTGATGAAAACATAACATGGAAAACCCATATTGACTATATTGGCACAAAAATTTCTTAAAATATTGGAATTCTATATTAAACCAGAACATATTTATGTAAAAAAAGTTATTTAAATTATGCTAATGTTGCATGGGGAAGCACTGAAAAAAGTAATTTAAAATGCCTTTATTGCCTTCAGAAACATGCAATCCGTTTAATAAATTTTGCGGATCGATACACTCATTCCAAACCACTTTTTATCGAAATGAAAGTTCTCAATATTTATGAGCTTAATATTTTTAATGTTTTGTGCTTTATGTATATGTGGAAAAATGACATATCTTTACCTGTTTTCAAAGATCTCTTTTGTTTGAAAGCACTAAATAAATATACACTTAGAAATAATAATTTTATATATGAGCCCTTTTGTCGAACCAAGTTTAATCTGCTTTGTATTGCACTTCGTGCACCCTATCTTTGGAATAAAATTGTTTTATCCGATATCGACATGCATTTTACTTTTCCCATTTTTAAATATAAATTGAAAAATTTAATTATCTTAATGGATGATATAGCCAGACTTTTTTAATCGTAATTATATATATATATATATTTTTAGAACTTTTATTGTTTATTACGTTTTATTTTGTTGATTATGCTTTGATGTAGTTTACATCCACACGCTTGTAAAAGGTTCTGATGATAAGATAAGTAAGATCTTATCATCAGAACCTTTTACAAGCGTGAAAATTTAGATATTAATATTGAACGTTTAAAAATAATAACTTTAACAAAGACTTTGTTTTTATTTATTTATTTTAAAGTTCGAGTTATTTGAAGAATATTAGCCACAGCTATGATTTAATGCTTTCCAACTTGCTTCTTTTTGTGTAACTTTTTTAGCTGGAATTATCGGATGTCTAATGAAGCCAGATTTATAAATAATAATATTTTTATAAAAAAACTCTAGAGTAAGTGGTTGGAACAGTTAGACAGAACCAGTATAAAGATGTTCTAAAAAATCAGTTGCTATCCCAAATGATAGATGGTCAAAAAATGTCACGAATCTTTATGCAAGATTATGCAACTTGCTACACAGTAAGTGTAGCTTTTACAATGTGTGTAATTATTTGCTGAGAATATTGTGTATTCTGTAGAAGACATTAGTTTTCACTAACTTTTGTTAAAGTAGTATTACATTTTTTCCCAATGGCTGAAAACTTATATTTAAAACTTCAAATAGAAAAAATAATTTTTATTCAAAATAGAAAAAGAAATTTATTGGCCAAGCATTTCAACCCAATGATCTTAACCCAATCAAAAACGTTTGGAAGCTATTAAAGCGAGAGATTGGAAAGAAATTATAACTAACAAGCAAGATCTTGTGGAAAATATAATTATTTAAATCAGTTAC